ATCTTATTCAAAATATAAACATTGTCGTTTTCTCAAAACCACATAAAACCATATTATATCGACATAAACAGAATAAAATGAAACATTAAAATCGAGATGCATCTCGCTGCATTACGCGAATACCCATCTAGTTAATTTTAACGACCCGATTTGAACCTACTAAAATTTTACAATAATAATTGTATAAATCTATTTTCCTATTGGGTCGGGTCTTTAATAGATCATATTGTCTATGAAAATTGAACTGTTCATAAGAAGTCGTATTATGATGTTTATCCGATTATCTTGAGATAAGAACTTTTTTGCTTTTTTTTTTATTAACCTGGATATCCAACCCCACTATGCGAACTGACTAATATTAAGACGACCACCTGCTTTGCAAATAGCCTGGAGTCACCGCATTTGAACCTCCGTGGCTACAAGGGGATTTTTATTCCTACTTGGATTTGAACCTGGAACCTTCTGGTATTTTTGACTTTTGGAGTCAAGCTCAAACCAATCAGACACCACCCTTATAGTTAAACTTTTGTACCACTTTGTATGGGGTTGATGTAAAATGCACCACAAATGTAAAAGTGATAAAAAGCAAATGGTACAAATGAATTTGTTTGTTGCTAGTTCTAGATCACTTTCATGGAATATAGTGATATATGCTATTATGTATATCTGGTGTGTTGTTCAGTTGGTAAATAGGTAGAGTGATTTTGTTCAGATACAAGATGTCCTGGATATAGACCGAACTGTCTCACGACGTTCTGAACCCAGCTCACGTACCGCTTTAATGGGTCTTCTTTGGTAGAAGTAATTCTTTCTTGTAAAGAACCCATGTGGCAATTCTACCAAGATCTCTTCGTTAGTTGGGGGAAGAATCTGCCCGAATCGGTTTTGATGCTTTTGCTTCTGTTCAACACATAATGACTGCAGCTAATATTGTATACCGTTCCGTCCTTCATTAAATGAGATGCAAACCAAGCATACAACGACCAGTTAGATGGTTGACTTAAGAGCCCAGTGCTCATCAAGAGTTTAATCCCAAAATATATTATAACTTTCCTATGCTACCGGTGTGATACTCGAACCTTCACTTGGGAGTCATTGTTAAGTGCCTTCAGGTGCCATTTGCCTTAGCTGGTGGGCATGACAATGACCAATAATTTTATCGGTTAAGAGGCATAACAAGGTTTGATAATCTTACTCGGTAAGTGATGGAGAAAACCATTACTTGGTAAGCACTTACTGGGTGAATGATGCTTACCAACAATATTTTTGATGACCAAGAATTTTACCAGATAAGGAAAATGAGAATGGTGACTTGCGGATAAATGCTTACCCGATAAACGTCTGGTAAACGACCCCTTAGGTTTAAAAAAAAAGTTGTTCTAACTATGAGCGTTTTTTTTTTCCTTCTGGTAATCGTGCGTTTCTGAACTAACTTATATAAATCAGATATACAATGACGAGTTAGATATTGAATATGTTAATTATTAATTCTACTTGACTTAATGGGCTTATAAACAAATCTATGAAAGCCCATAAAGAAAAAAAAGTGTTGTTTTTTTAAAGGAAAATATTGTAATATATAATTATTTATTTTAAATTTGATTATTGAATTTTAAAAACCATATTAAAATCATTGTACTTTTTAAAATTGATTGTTTCAAGTAATTATTATTTTGGTGAGACCATCTAAATTACATTGAACCTTCATAACAAAAACACTGTGAAGGTAAACATTCACGGTGTTTTTGTTACCTTGACAATGTTTAAGAATGTGGTTTCACGGGTCTCATGAAAACAAGTTGGTCTTACGTAAACTCAACCCTTTATATATATATATATATATATATATATATATATATATATATAGGGTATA